GCCTTTAGGATTTTTTCTTTACTACTAGTTTCAAGCAATTTGATTAAGCTGCATCTTGGTGTTGTTTTTTTCCTTAGGGTTTGTTGAACTCTGTAGATCTGCAAGGTTATTATTCTCATCAAATTTGGAAAAATCTAATGCATTTATTCCTTTAAATATCTTTTCTTTCTCTCCTTTATGCAGGGGTTTCAAACACGTGTATTAGACCACTTCAGTTGTTCAGATCTCACTTCTACTCTTCTCTCTCTCTCTCTCTCTCATTGCTGTCTTCAAGTCTGTTAACCTTTTCTTTCACAGTCTCTAATTTTTCATTTACCCAATATATTACTCTTCATCTCAGATATTGTAGTTATCATCTTTAGGATTTCAGTTTATGTCCTTCACTTTCATACATCTTCCATGTCTCCAGTATTCGGCATAGAAAAGAAATCTTATCTGCTTTAATGTTCTTGTTCATTAGTATTTTTGTCCTTGTCTTTGTTGGAACTGATATTTATTTGCTTAGTTATCTATTTCTACATGACATATTTTCCTGGTTTTTTGCATGATTGGCATTTTTGTTTGGATATCAGGTATTGTAATTTTTATCTCTTTGGGTGCCAAGTATTTTTGTATTTGTATATTTTTTAGCTTTGCCCTGGTCCATAGTTGAGTTACTTGGAAACACTTTAATTCTTTTGAGACAGACTGTACTGTAGCAGTGCTCAGTTCAGGGCAAACTGTTTCCCCGAGCCAACATGTTCCAAATCAGGACCATCACTTGCTTCTGCTCAAAAACAAGGGAATATTTCTTATATTTAAAATGGTTTAAAATTCAGAATTCACATCCATGAACTATCATCAATAAAGAAGACATTGGAACTCTGTGGGTGGGGATGTGAAGTGGTACAGCTGGGGATGTGCCTCAAAAGTTAAACAGTAGAGTATGGTGGTGCACGCCAGTAATCCCAGCACTTGGGAGACTGAAGCAAGAGGATCATTCTGAATTCAAGGTTAGCCTGAGCTACAAAGTGAGTTCAAGGCCAGACTGAACTAAATAGCAAGACCCTGTCTTAAAAGGCAAGTAAAAATAAGAGATTAAACACAGAGTGACCACACAATCTGGCATTATCCTATTCCTGGTCCTACACCAGAGAGAACACAAAGGAAGGTCTAGAAGACTTATTTGTCTGCACACCCATCTTCATAGCTGTATGATTCACAGTAGCCAAGGAATGGAAGCTACTCAAGTGCCTGCTGAAAGATGAATGGATAAACAAAGGGTGTCTATCCACATGGTGGAATATTATTTAGCCATCAAAACAAGAAATTCTGACTCATGCTATAACATGGATGCGACTTCAAGTAAAACAAGCCAGTCACAAAAAGGACAAATTCTGCACCATTCCTTTTCTATGAGCTCCTTAGAGGAGTCAAATCTACAGAGACACAAAGTAGGTTGAGGGTGCCCATGAAGGGATGAGTTCTGGGCCTGTGTGTACTGGAGACAGAGCTTCAGTCTGGGAGATGAGAAAGTTCTGGAGATGGATGGTGGTGATGGCCTCACAGTGGCTGTCACTGTAGTACACATTGTAACAATGGCTTACATGGTAACCACTTTTGAATCACGTACTGCTGTACTCAGAGCTTGCAAGGAAATACACTTAATACAGGACACATAATTTATAGGATTATAATAGTTACCCAAAAATCAAATGAAGAAGAGTGCAGATCTGTCCATGCACTAAAAACTCACAAAGAATCCAACTGAGAGCCTGGATTCCACGGCAATGTCCTGTATGAATCCAGCTGAAGACCTAGAGCCTGGGGCAATGTCCTCCAGGAATCCAACTGGAGGCAACGTCTCACACAAATCTGTATCAAGAGATGGCCCAAAGATCTGCAGTGGAAGCTGGAAAGCCTACACCAGCAGGATGAAGGATCTGTGTCACCAGGCTGAGTGATCTTCCCTGGAGCCAGGAATCCACACTAAAGGACCAGAGCTCCCCTGAAAAGAACTGCAGTCATCCTCAGTGACAGTGAGGACATAAGTGCCTCTGACTATGAGAACAACTGAATTCGTAACAGGCAAACCAGCATGACAAGTTTCTCGAGGAGAATCAAAAGAGAACCATCTGCCCCACCAGTTCTCCTTTTATGCTACTGGCAACAATCTTTGAAGATGGGCCTTCCACACCCAGAACCATACTGATTCAGTTTATCTGGATGTAACAAGTTAACCATTAGTTAATCTATCATATGTACATACTGGCACACACAAAAAAAAAAATAAAAAAGAATATTTTGTGACATGGAAATATGGTCTGGAATTCAAATTTCTGTGTTCCTAATGAAATTTTGTTGGGCGACAAACATAGTTGATCATTTCTTTGTTGTCTGGTGGCATTTGCTCTGAAATGGCAAAAGAATGTGCAGCAGAGAACGTACAGCCCAGGAGACATGAAATATTTGTTATTTGGTTGTTTAGAATAGAGATTCAAGAGGGGCAAACACTGGAAATGAGTGAACTGGATTGGGGAGAGATACCAGGGTGCAACAACACAGTGTGCCTATGTTTTAACCTTTCCAACCACTTTATTGAGATATAATTCACACACCATACAGTTCATCCAAGTATATGCTTCAATCACAGAGCCACACAGACATCACCCTAGCCCATCTTAAGACATTTTAATCAGTTCAGAAAGAAAATCCATACACAGTCCTTAACCATTACCCCCTGTCCCCTCATGCTTGTTCCTCAGCCCCTGCGGCCACCATTTTGCCTTCCGTCTTGGTAAATATACCTGTCCCGAACATTTCCTAGAAATGGAGTCATACTATACATGGTCTTTTGTGCCTGGCTTCTTTCACTTGTTTTCAAGATTTACTCACAGTCCTGTGATAGTGTGTCTATGGTCTTTATAGCCGAACAGTGGCTGAACCACATTTTATCCCATCTGTCTCTAAGTGGACAGCTGGTTGCTTTGAAACATCTGTGTGGTCACCACAGCCATTCAGGTTGTGGTTCTCCAGGTGCAGTGAGGGGCTATGTCTCAGAACAGAAAGTGACCCAGAAAGTACAGAGACCAGTGTGCCCAGGAGAGAGACAGCTTCTGGAACAAGGGAACTGCTGTGGTGTCAAACGCTGACAGAGACCAGAGGACAGAGGCTGTGGCTAAGTGAGGCCAAGAAATGAAAGGGAAGAGCCATCTCCAAGAGGGACATCGGGCCATGGGGACCGCTGCCTTTAAGCTGCAGGAGGATAGGCTGCCTTGCAGAAAGTAGGAGAGCCAGGATAAGGAAGAGGGAGAAGTGCCTGGGCAGAAAAGGGTGCTGGTCTGGCAGTAGCATGGCAGACACAGGCATGGGCACAGGGCTGTGCCAGTGGACTTGGCGGAAAGAAACAGGTAGCTGGGACTCTGAAGAGCTGCAAATTTCAACAGAAGTTTTGGAGTCCTAGGATTTAAGGGGTCTCAAAGGTTGTTTGGGAGAACCTGGAACCCAGCCTAATGACTAAGCCTAATGAAGATCAAGTGGAGGGCCAGCCCCAGCTGCTGTCCCCCAAGGGAAGCTACTGCTCAAGCAGAAAAGAAATCAACCACCGGTCCACAAGATACTGAGAAATAACAAATCATTGTCCAAGCCACTAACACCCTGGCAGTCTGCAGTGCAGCAGTGAACACTCCAGATCAAGTGTCTCCAGATCAAGCAAGGCCTTTCAAGGTCCAGTGTGCAGGACTCTGGGACTGCTCCTGGCACCTTGGCCTGAAGTCTTCAGATAGAGAAGTCAGGCCATCAGATCTACTTTGTGAGTCACAGTCAGGGAAGGACTTGGCTCTCTGAGCAGACAGGTGCAGAGATGATCCTAGGCAGGTAGGCTGGATTCAGACTCAAGCTCCCTTTCCAGCCACAGCACCCACTTGGGCAGGGGTGTAACTGGACTCATCCCAGCCCTCTCTGAGAAGGCAATGGATGGGTGTTCCTCTGCAGACTTCTGTGGTGGGAAGGTCAAACAGGCCAAACATGATCCTGCAGGGCGCCAGGAGCCCCTGGGCCCCCATTGCACCCTTCTCCTAGCCAGAAGGGAAGGCAGCTCCAAGCAGCTGAGTCACCTGACCCACCGATCTGTTCCCAGGACGCCATGGTCCCTTGGGGGAAAACTGGCCTGGATATCATCAGGAGGACACAGTTCTGGGAAAATGGTGCAGGTTTAAAACTTTTCTATGAGCAGTGAAAGTCCCTGCCCCTCACACCCACAATTTACTCCCATGGGTGAGGAGAAAATTTCTCTCCCAGAGCTTTCTTCTCGCAAATCTTCTGTCCCTAACGACTTTTCCTTTTCCCCACGGGTTGGATCTCAATGTCCTCTAGGGAAGGATGGGAGAGGGAGGAACCACCTTAAGCCACACGGGTGTCATTGAGGAAAAACAGGTTAGGGTAATGAGTGAGATCTAGGAGGTGGGGACAGGAGTGGAGGAGAGACGGGGAAGTAGGGGACAGGATACAGCTAGTGGGGGAGGCATTGGAAAAAGAAGGAGCCTGGTCAGAGCGGTGGGGATAGATCTGGCTGCAGACCAGGCCTGAAGAGAATGGAGCAAAACCTTCAGTACCTTGGCTCAAGAGGTGTCGCGCAGACCCCAGCCTAGTGTGCACAGAAATAACAAATACAGGCTGTGTGCAGCATGACATGGGTGGAGAAGTTTCCTGGAGAACCTGAAGCTTCCACCTCCAGGTCTCGACTACCTCTCACGTTCCACCACAATGAAGGGTTGGTCCAGGTGTGCGCAGGTCAAGAATAGACATCCTAGTGGTTAGGACGGATCAGGGCGGGGCCAAGCGGGTGAGCAGCTTTGTTCGAGACTCTCCTCGGGAGCAGCCACGCGCCAGGCGTACGCTTCCTCCAGGGGGCCGGGCGTGGGGCCGCGCCCGCGTCGATTGGCCAAACCCGAGGCTCGGGATTGGCTGAGTCCATCCCCCCGCCTCCCGGGGTGAAGGAGGCGGGCGGCGGGGCGCGTGTTGGCCCTGGGGGTCTCGGGCGCCTCTCCACAGCTGGGATGTTGCCACTGCCACGCCAGCTACCCCAGCGGGAGCTGAGCGTGTAGACTACGGGCGGTTCTTGGGGCTTGAGTGCTGTGTGCGGGAGGGCGGGGGATACAGGAAGGTTACGCCCGGGACTGCTGACAGTTCCTGGAGGTTGGGACCTCCAGACAGCCGCTGGTCGCACGCAGGATTTGCGTGAGGCGCTCTGGGAGGCGCACTAGGCACCTGCCAGGAGCAAGGGGGCGCATTAGCAACCTGCAGGTTGTGCCCCCGGGCGATTAGGCGGAGAGCGCGCGCAAGGTTTGGCTTTTGTAGAGGGGGAGGGCAGAGCGTGTCTGGAGGGCGAGGCAGAGGAAGGAGGGTGTGAGAAAGGCGGCGGCGCGGAGGAGGGTTATCTATACGTTTAAAAACCAGCTGCCTGCGCTGCGCACCCGCGGAGATTTGGCCGCACGCGCGGGACGCGAGTGCCCGGCGCTTCGCAGTGTGCACAGCCCATCACCCTCTTAGCCTCCTGCACAAGCAGTCCCCGGGCTCCAGACGATCTGGGACAGGTTCCCCGGTGAGTTGCTCGGCAGCACAGCATTCCGAGGCCTTCTTGGGGCGCAGTCATCCCCGTCCCACCGACCGTGCTTCCATTGCGCGCACTTTCTTTGCAGCGCGCCGGGCCTGTGAGCAGGCGCCCCGCGGGTGGATGCGGGCGCGATGGACGGCGGCGCACTGCCCAGACTCGCGCCTTCTTCGCCTGCAGTCCCTGTCGCCTCTGCTGCCGGGCAGAGATCCATATCACCGGAACTGCTGCGCTGCAGCAGGCGGCGGAGGCCCGGCGCGGTGGAGTCCGGGAGCTGCGCGGCGGCCGTAGCGCGGCGCAACGAGCGCGAGCGCAACCGCGTGAAGCTGGTGAACTTGGGCTTCCAGGCGCTGCGGCAGCACGTGCCGCACGGCGGCGCCAGCAAGAAGCTGAGCAAAGTGGAGACGCTGCGGTCGGCGGTGGAGTACATCCGCGCGTTGCAGCGCCTGCTGGCTGAGCACGACGCTGTACGCACTGCGTTAGCCGGGGGGCTGCTGGCGCCAGCCACGCGGCTCCAGGTTTCCCGCGAGCCTCCTGAGACCTCACCCACTGCCACTTCGCCTTCCTGCTCCTCATCGTCCCCAGGCGGCGAGGGTAGTTCAGAGCCCGAGTCTCCGCGCTCCGCCTACTCCTCGGACGACAGCGGCTGCGAGGGCGAGTTGAGCCCTGCGGAGCGCGACCTGCTCGACTTCTCTAGCTGGTTAGGGGGCTACTGAGCGCCCTCCACTCCGAGGTAACTACCTGGCCTCTTCAAAGAGGAAGTGTCGGGGGAAGGGGAAGGGGGACTGGCAGGGTGGGCAGGCATAGCAGTTCGCGTCCAGAGACCCCATCGGAGCAGAGCGCTAGGCCGGCGATAGCTTCGGTTTCACTCACTCTTCATTTCCCCCCAAACTTTTTCAAGCCTGTGCAAGACCTGCGTTTGTTTGTCCGAGATTGCAAAACTTCCTCTCTGGGCCCTGCTGCCAGTGGGGGAGGGTAGGGGGAGCGGCCTTTGGGTCGATGAGGTCCCTGTTCTTGCTGGTCCTCAGCCGAGCGGAGTGCTGGAGGCGGGGTGACTTTGCATTGCAAATCGCCTGCCGGGTCGGGGTGCCGGAATGAGTCGACGGGAGTGGAGTCCTGAGTCACCGCCAGTGGCTCTGCAAGCACCCCGCCCCCGCTCCGCTGGGCCTTAGACCAAGCCGAGGCACCCGAGGACTGAGACTCCAAAGCGAGCAAACGAAACTGCCAACTGAGTTTTGGGAGGCGTGAGGAAGTCGGGGGCTGCTTAGTCGGCAAGAGTTAACACATGTTCTGTCCCGGCAGCGTAGATCTGGACGCCTGGCGGCAGGAGCACCTGTCACCTGGAACCCGCCAGGTGGGGACCGGCCCGTGCTCTGTACCCCCCTAGCCAGGGATCCGGCCAACATTGCCTGTCCTGCCCAGCCTGACAAGTGCTTTGTGGAACCAACCCGCCTGGCCTCTCATGGATTGGCAGCTTCCGCCGGCCCTCCCCAGCTGGGTACCACAGCCTGGATGTTTTTTACAGAGGACAGGATTTTACAAGGACACAAGAAATCTTTTTTTTTTTTTTTTTTTAAAGCACATTAACTTGAACTGCTGGAAGGACTCTTGAAAATAAGAAGACTTATTTTTATACAAAGTAGCCTTAGGCTTGGAGCACAATAAAGATTGTTTGCTTCCCTTCACAACCTGGAATTTTCCAACTTGGCAGAGGTGTGGACCCAGCAGGTCTATAAGGGCAAGTGCCTGGTGGGCCTGCCTCCTCTGAAATCCAGCCTGGGGTCCTTGGTTTGGGCAGTGCTGCTTAGCTGGCCTGTGGGAACACCTATTTTAATGAAAGTGAACTTTATGAATGTGTTAGTTCCATGGATCAGTGGTATCTGGCAGCTCCCTCTCCAGAGGTCGTGACCCATTTCCCAGGTGAGGGCCAGGTACATGGCCCAGAATCTGTTTTGGTTTCTTCTCTAGACATTTGCTACCTTCTCTGAGGTGGGTGCATAGGTGTGAGACTCGAGTTCAGCCAAGCCAGGGCCAGTAGATGCCAGATATACAGACTGCCTATGGAGTTGGAGCCATGAGTTGAGGGGTGGTCTTGACAGGGCTGGTTTTTCTGTGGGAAATTGAAGTCCAGAGGCCACTGACAGGTGCAGCGGTCCAGGACAAGTTCTGTATGTAGGGCTGGAACCAAGACCATCACTGAGCATTCTTCCCTTCCTCTGAGGGACTGTAGGTCAGAGCCCCACGTCCAGAATTACTTATCAGGTGCCCCTGGCAAATCGCTTAACCTGAAATCACACCGACCCCAGGCAGCCTTTCCGGCTAGGAAGGCTTTGGGAGGTGCTGGTGAGTTGTAGCCTGCCAGCCCATGTGTGCTGATCCTGTGCTGGTTGCAGGGGGCTGGGTGGCTATGACAAGGCTCTGCATGTCTTAGCCAAATTATGGGAGCTGTCTTTGGATAGCAGGCCAGAAGACTCTGAAACTACCACCCATACTACCTCCAGGGTCCCCTTAGCTCAGAGAGATGTGGCAGGGTACTGCATGGCTCCACCTTTGACCCTGGGTCTCGGCAGCTTTGAAGTCTCCCTGCGCTGAAAGCACCCTTTTACTGCAAGGGCATGGGAGGGGCTGGGGGATCTTCAGGCTGTTGTAGAGTGCTGCAGGCACTCCTTCCTTCACCAGGGAGTGGTTGGGGCTCAGCCGTTGGAACTCTGTGAGGGGCGTGGCCAGCCTTACTGCAGAGCAGGTGTAACCATGTGGGTGGTATACACAGGTTCTCAGGGTGCATGAGTCTCAGAAAGCAGGGCTGACAGAGCCCCCACCCCTTTTCCGGGGGAGCAGAAGTCCTCAGAGGTTCTCTCCAACCAGGGTCAGTGTTGAATCTGTAGCTGGAATCAAGGGTCAGATGGCCCTAATGAGTATCAAACTTTTGTTTTAAGAGTCTCACTAGTTTGCCCAGTCTGACCTCAAACTTGCAGTCCTTTTACCTTAGCTTCCTGAGTAGCCTGGCTTCCCAAGTACTTCCGAAGCAACTCAGACTTTGTAAGGTTGTCCTTGTTCACGTGTGTGTCTCTGAAGGAAACCCTAATTCCCTCATCACTCCCAATGCACACTGGTTCTTTCATAACCTCAGATCCCCAGCCAATGGCACAGTTTTATCTGATGTGCCTCAAAAGTTTGCTCATCGAGTTATGAGCTCAGAATCTATCTAAAGTCCCCACCAAACTCATGCCATGGGTCTCCTCAGCATTTTGTAAGCATTTTCCCTTAATTTTATTTTTTTATTTCAATTTAATTTAAATTTTTTTAGCATTTTGGCACTAGGGATTGAATACAAAGTCTTTCCACTGAACTGCGTTTTCATCCTTTTTAAATATTTTTAAATTTGGAGACAAGGTCTCATGAAGGCCAGGGTTAGCCTCCCTGATTGTAGGGATTATGGGTGTGCACCATTGTGCATTGCTTCTCTTGGTATTTTTGTTGACAGAATGGCAATGTTCTGTGATGTTCTGACCCTTCGTTGCCTGTAGGCTGGAATCGGGGAGGGCACTCAAAAGCAACTGTGATGAGGCTTGGGTTCAGTGGTTCTGCATCCTGTGACTATGTCCCCATCAGGAGACATGAGGTATGATGACTAAAGCTTTTGTCTAGACAATGACAATTGAGAGTGGATAGTGGCACTTCTGAAGTGGGTCACCTGGGCCCCTGGCTATTTGCTCCTTGTTAGTCCTCTGACCTGTCATTTATAGTGTGAATTAGGTGTCTGAGGTCAGTTTGAAAATAGCAGGAACTGGGATTCAAACCCAGGACTGTTTCATTCCTGTTTTGAACCGTCATCTTCCGTAAAGGTGACCTCGTGGCTCTCCTGGAGAGGATACCCTTAGTAATTCAGCATTCTGGCTGAGCCAACATGGATTGGGCATTGCCTGGTCCATAGGCTCTGTTGTGGGCAGCAGGATTCTTCCAAGAGTCTATGACCCAGGCTTTGCCCTGCCTGAAGGTCAGAAGTCCATTCGAAACAGAAGGTGATCAGTGTGGGATTAGCACAACCTGTGGACAGGGGCAAGGAGTGGTGCTTTTATCCCTGGGTTTCTTCACTCAAATGACCGACCAGTGAGTCTGGATTGAGTGCTGCCCCCCAGCAGATCTGGGATGGGTACAGAGGCAGGAGAACAGTCTGGTGACCAGAGCTCCAGGAAGCTCTGGGGACCTGTTGTTACTTGTGATCAATGAATTGTTCTAGTCTGTTTCTTACAGTGGACACCCTGAGGAGCTCTGTAAGCCTCAATTTAGAAAGTCACTCTTGGTTGTTAAACCAGCAAGGGATGTGCCCTTGAAGATCCTACACTTGGGGCCATGCTGAGGAAACCCAGGAATGGCATCAAGATTAAGCCTGTGGACTCACCCAGCCAGGTTTCAGGCCCATTCATTTGGAGACCTTCAGTGGGCACCCCACTGTGTTGGAGCTTGAATGTGCGTGTGCCACAGACATGACTGTGTGGAATCTGGCCACTGCCTGGCGCCATCTTGCTGACAGATGGATGAGTCAGCTTTGCTGTTGAACCGAAGGAGACACGAAAGGGTCCAGAGCAACAGCAAGGCTCCTGGGGTACACTGTCTAGGTCCCTCAGTTTCTCAGCCATCTGTACAATGCTGGCTTATGTTGCTGCTGCCTGTCCAGTGAGCCAGGCCAGTGACATCCTGACTCACTTGACCCTTAAAGCCACGATACAGGACCATGTGACTCTTCTTACTCAATAGCAGACCCCCAACCTCTGGGAAGACATTTCACCAAGGTCAAGGTCATGGACTACCCACTCTGGCTCTGGCTTCTGGGTGAGGGAAGGGGCTCTGGGAACCTGCCCGTCAGTCAGCCTCTGCTGTGTCAGGAGCTCCAGGTGCTCCATGGATGTAGAGATGAATCCCCATGTCAGCAAGAGTCCTTCCAGAGCTGGCTGGGAAATTATTTGGGACCAGGACAAAATGAAAATGTGGCAGTCCATCATGGTTTAGGTCCCAAATGGCTCCCAAAGGCCCATATGTTGAAAGCTTGGTCCCCACCGCTGGGGTGGTGGTGGCGGAAGAGGCTATAGAAGGAGGGGGCTTGGTGGAGGGAATTTGGGCCCTTAAAGGGGGATAATGAGACCCTTTCTGTTAGCTTCCTGGCTGCCATCTGTACAATGGCAGCTTCTTTGCCATGCCCTTCCACCATGGTGTGCTGTGCCTGCCACAGGTCTAAAAAGCAGCAGGGCCAACTGATTATGAAATGAAACCTTTTAAAACTGTGAGCCAATGGGATGTGTAGCACCTGTAATCCCAGCACTCTGGGAAGCTGAGGCAAGAGGGTCAAAAGCTTGAGCCTAACCTGGGCAACTTCCTGAGACCTTTCTCAAAAAGAAAAAGGGCTGGGAATGTAGCTCAGTGGAAAGACCCTGGGTTCAAACCCCAGTATGCAAACAAAACAAAACAACTATGAGCTAAAACAAATCGTTTCTCCTTTTAAGTTGGTTACTTCAGATATTTTTTCACAGCAGTGTAAAGCTGACACACACTCCTTAATTTAAAAAAAATGGAAAAAATACAACGTTAAATGTTCTAAAATATAAGACTTCCCTTTCTTCTATGGGAAGTTTGTCCCTTGACTTCTGGTTTCGGTTTCCATTAATTAATGCCATTCTAAGTAAGAAATATGTACTAGGATTTAAGTTACAGTTGCCCTTCCATTTACTAGGATTCAACCAATTGTGATTCAAAAAACTGTTAAAAATATTTCATTCATACTAAACATGGACAGACTCTTTTTGATCATTATTTCCTAATTAATAAGAGTATAATAATTATTTACACATCATTGAGGTTGTATTAGGCATTGTAAGTAATCTAGAGGGAATTTAAAGTATACAGGAACATGTGTGTAGATTCTATGCAAATACCTAATTTTATAGAAGGGGCTTGAACAATAGTGGGTTTTTGTGGCCTGGCAAGTGGGTGTTTCCTGGAACCTATCTTTGCTGGTACCAAGGGATCATTAGTATGAATTTTGCCTCCCATCTTTGTATCATATCATGCCAATTTAAGTACAAACGTAAGAACATTTAGCTGGAGGGCAGAATCGCTGAAAGGACACCATTTGTATTTTGCAGGTAGCACATACGCTTTAATTCCATTGTTCCCCAGAACAGTGGAGGTGCTGCACAGATGAAAACAGTGATTTTCATTTCAGCCCTTGATCCACAGGCTGCTGGCATGCTCCACCTCCACTTACTGATGGGCAAAGAACGCTGAGAGAGAAAAGGAATGGAGTGACCACTGCCACTTGTCACTAGGTTCAGCATAAGCAGTTGAGTAATGCCAGGAAATCTCCAACTAAGACAGACACGCTGGCCCCTCTATCCTTCAAGCTTGTTAGCATACTATTGTTTTCCTCTCCCATTTCAAAAATTTATTTATTTATGTTTTGAGACAGGGTCTTTCTACGTAGTAGGCCAGCTTTGAACTCACTTATGTAGCCCAATCTGACCTTGGACTCGCAGTGATCCTCCTGCCTTGGCCTTCTTACAATCGAGAGCCACCATACCTGGCTCTCCTTGGATTTAAAGCAAGTTTGGTTTGAATGAAAATGTACCTGGGCACCCCCTTGCTTAGCTTCAGAGGAATGTACCCACTTTGGACTTGCTTGAGGGGCTTTATT